GTACGGAAGCGTATTGCATTCACTTGAAGAAAAAAATCTACTCTGTTTTTCTGAATTAATGAGTTAATTATCTCAGAATTATGAGATCATTTTTCATGAATTTTTTTTTTGCTCTGTTTTTCTGAATTAACGAGTTTTTGAGATAATCAAGTCATTAATTCAGAAAAACAGAGCAAAAAAAAATTTTCATGAAAAATTATCTTGTAATTCTGAGATAATCAACTCGTTAATTTTTTTCTTCAAGTGAATGCAATACGCTTCCGTAAAAGTGAGATATTTCAAGCCTTTATTTGTTATAATTTTGATGATTATGACTTTATGAAATTATGAAAAACCCCAAATTCAAAATTAGAATATTATGAAAAGGTTTTCATAAGCTGTAAGCCATAATCATCACAATTATAACAAATAAAGGCTTGAAATATCTCACTTTGCATGTAATGAGTCTATATAATATATTAGTTTCACCTTTTAAGTTGAATTACTGAAATAAATGAACTTTTGCACCATATTCTAATTTTTCATCAACGGAAAGCTTATTTATTCAGCTTTCAGATAATAAATCTCAATTATTTTTTTAAAAGTGACTCTTATGACTGGTTTAGTGGTCCAGGGTCACACACAGTGGATGAGGGATTCCAGTATGCGTTTGACTGTGATCTAGACAGTCTCATCTACAACATTGCGACACATTTTGCTGCACTGCTGCTAACCTCCAAATGAACCTGTTTTTTAATGCGCAACATCTGCAGTGTTGAGCATCAGCACATTATGAGTTGTTTAAACAGAAATGATACGTCTAGTAATGATCTCTTAGATCCAATAGCATCATGCTTGGCAAAAGGACATGTTCACTAACACCAATGTCATGCAGAACATCGAGTCGGTTCTACGGTGGCTCATGCGATCTCATGCAAAACTCTCAGTAGAGTCTCTTTTCTGGGTTCTGGTTCTGGTTCTTACCTGAAACCGTGCTGTCCATTGTGCTGCCGGATGGATGGTGAGCCGAGAGATGAAGGGAATGAAGCACTGAAGGAGTGACGCACAGCGATGGTCTATTATCCGGGGAGGAATGATGGATGAGAGGAGGAGGAGGAGGAGGAGGAGATGAAGAGAGAAATGATGTGGCTGACGAAGCTGGACTATTATCAGATCCAGAGATAAACTGAGAGAAAAAAGACAGTAATAAAGTGATGCAGTGCTGTTGTCTTGGAAACGAGAGCTATTTTTACTCTTTAATCGGATACTTTCAAGTTATGCAGTTCATATATCCGAACATTAAAAATCAAGTCATTTTGGTTGGGAAAAGTTCTTGCAACATTTGTTTGATTTGATATGGTATTAGCATCTAACATTTTATAATCTACAGCGCAAAATAAAAAAAACATTTTTTAAATCAAGATACATTTACTTGAGAAGCAATGACAAATGTATTAAAATTAAATGAGTTTGTGCTTAAAAGAAGAAAACGAGTAAAAGATAATTTTAATAATATTTTTATTTTTACATTTTGCTTCTCCAGTAAATGTATCTTGATTTAAGAATGTTTTGATATTTGCACTGGAAAACTAGACAAATATACAGCGTAACGCAACGACTTTTGCGCCTCTTTAAATATCTGTGCTAAATATTTCTAGATATTGTTGTCTTTTTAAACGGACTACTGTAGGTCCAATCGATGAGGTGCTAACAAAATCAATAACTCATCGACAGGACAGAGGATGGATTGGGTTCAGTCCTGTGTCGAACACTCAAGACGACGTTTGATCGTTTCCAATCAGCGATTGCTCTGAAACCGACATGCATCAGATGATATTAAAGTAAAGGAGCGAGCTTGTAGTTTAAGATGGGAATAACAATAGAAGCACTGTTTCCTTTTGACAGGGTTATTTTATAATGAGCAGTTTTTTTTAAGATAAAGCCATAATAGCATTTTTTGTTATTAATATGCTTTTACTTATATGTTCCTAGGCACGTTATTACTAGTCCTAGTAATAGTACTAATACTTTTTTTGTAAATCTGGCACAAAAATAAAACATAAAAATTAACAAAAATTTCATAGAGAAAAAGCTATTTGCAATATTAGGTGGAAAAAAATGTTAATCCAAGATAAATTCTCTTAACCTGTTAAGTGTCACCCCCCTTTTTTTGAATAGACATGAAAATGCACATTTCGAACTTAAATGGCTGTAATTCAAGAATGCTTTGGAATATAGACGTAAGATTGGTCTCGTTTTAAAGAAGACATTTGGCAGATTTGTGTAAAAGTGAAATAAATCAAGAAAGTGAAACAGAAAAAAAGTTAGAAGCTTGAGTTTATGGAAATGTACAATGTAAAAAAAAATATTATTCATATTTTATATAAAATATATATTTTCAAAACCTGGGCTACTCTAAAACAAGTTGTGTTTCAAATTTTAAGTTGATATCTCAAAAAATGAGCTTTCAGTGAGAGTGTGTGTGGGTGCAGTACCGAACGCTTCCACTAGGGCACAACCAGACTCCATTACTGCCCATATAAGGGGGCCGCCATTTCCATATGTGTTTTGAGTGATATGAACCATTATTTCCACAATTTTCATACAATTTATGAAGTAGACATCCTATTCAGAAGTAGTATGGGAAGTTTGGCAGATTTTGATATGAATTCAACCTCTAAGAAACACATTCAAAGAACACGCATGTGCGTCATAGCTCGCTGCCACACCACAAATGGTGAATCTATAATTCTTTTCTTTCTATTTCAAACATTTTCAGACCTTTTTTTCTAAAATAATTGAATGGATGCTATCTTTTGAACTCTTGGCATAAAAACTGAGGTTTCTACCCTTCTTTCATGATTTTCATGTTCATCACTATTTCAAAATAAAGGTCTGAACACGCCTTAGGAGTATGAAAATATTCTTGTTGCAAATTGATAAATTATGGCTCCTCTGTAATTTATTTTGAAAATCAGTCACCAAATATGGAAACTAGAGATTGTAAGCTTTCAAATGATATATAGTTTGTCAGTATTACTTAAGGTTTTTACTAAAATATTATTGTTTTAAAAATATAATGACAGTTAATTAAACAAGTCTTAGTTTTGCTAAACCCTTCTATCATGTTGCAGGTCAATTTGACAAAATTAGAAAACGAAATTGAGTTGTTGAAGAACTGAAATTGAAATTTTGTGAATGAGTGCACACATTTTTTTTACGATTTTGATGTTCGCAGATCAATTTGACCCGCAATTTCACGGATAACCAAAATACAAAAATTTTGCAATTTTTTGTCAGTTTCTAAACTACTCTCTGTCTGATGGTCTGTAAATGTAAATGTATGCATTTGACAGACACTCATCCACATTTAATCAGTTCAAGAACGTTCATTTCACTGGGAATCAAACACATGATTTTATTGTTGCATGATCTATTGTTTGAGCTTCAGATAAGCACACAAAAATAAAACATTTAAATAAAAAAAATCTCAAATTAAAAAAAAAAGAAATGTTTTATTTTAAAACAAATAGTTAAAAATGTTTTTGTAATGTGTGAGAAGTATTACTTTTTTTTTTTCATAGTGTGATTTTTCATGAATTGTATTGAATCCAATTAGGGTCAATTTGACTCGCAACATATTATCGTACCCAGAATACGAACATAATACAACGTTTTCCAGTTAAATATTTCATATTTTTAAAAAAAGACCCCTTTTTTTTTTTGCAGCGTAACCATAAGAGTGCCAGCTCTATTATTCAAGTTCCCTTGCAGATTCACGGATGCGCTGTTACACAAGTGTTCATACACTATTCATGGCCGAACCCTCAGCTGAAGGCTTGCGTGCGAAGCCCGGCTCGATTTACCCCGCTGTCCTAAAGCAACTGCACAAGGGAACAGCCTGAGTTAAGGCAGTGCAGATCAGCGGCATACACACACAACGTGACATATCTGAACAACTACATATGAACATTAGCACTAATGATGCGTATTCCGATACTAGCATGAGTTAGTGCTAGTATGAGCATACATGTTAAACATCATATTGACTCTTTCACACACACACACATAAGCGTATGATTCATTAGAGAGGTCACAGATGTGACGTGTTAACATTCATAGCATGAGCGGTGCTTATTGATTCACTGAAATGCATTCAGCTTAGACAAGAGAAAAATCATTAAAACCCAGTCCTGATGGAACAAGGCATATCCCGGATTTGTAAGGGTTGGGAAAACATGAAAGCGAGACACAAGAGCTTTGTTTTCCATCTCTGCTGTTTATTATATAATTGGTTAGTAATTAGAACTAAGATTGTGAGTGTTAAAAACAACGCCTCTTGAAATTCTATATGAGGAATGTCTTCATTATTTTAGTAACTATTGATTAAAAAAAAAAGATTTTGCAAAGAAACTTAAAACTCATCAGAGATCAAGACTGACGGTGTCGGGTCAGTGTATAAATATCTACAATGTCACAGAATAGACATCAAACATGAGGTGTGCGAGAGCATCAGACAGATATAATATCATAACTTACACGTCCTCAGAACAACTGCATCCTCTATGCATTTACACACACACACACACACACACACAGATGATGTTCTATGTGATGTCCTTTTGTCTGGGAGGACGGTGAATGTTCCGGATCACACATTTGACCATCCATTCAATGCCATCGTTCACTCCCTGCCTGAAAAACACAGACAACACACACCGTTTAAACAACCAGCGAAACCAGTCGAGCACACGTTTAGAGCAAGAAGTAAAATGATCTTTATCTAGCATTACATGCACTAACATTAACATAACAACAAAAAAGCATTTACTAAGTTGCACAGTCATTATAATCACTGCAACACTGTCAAAATAAACTCCAGGACTTTTCAAGCACTACTCGTTTGGTTTTCAAGGACTACAATCAGAGATCTCACTTATCAAACACTATCTTTATTATCTTTCAAATTCTAAAAGCACATTTTAACACTTATTCACACACGCAATCGCTCTCTCACTAATGCATTGCATTCAAACACGTGTGATCTTGCAGTGCTGTCTGCATTTGATTTCACATGAGCAGAAATCTGTCAAAAATGTGGCGACCCGTAGATAAAATAACTGATGAAAACGTCGTTATTTTCTTCTTTCCAAACAAAATGTGCACACAGCAATGATATTCCACTTTTAATGCGGATATTTCACTTTTAAAGCATGTCGAAGGAACGGTTTGCACACTATCCAATAAACCACATTGAATCTATCCTCCTAGTATGGGTTATTTTATTTTTTTCATTTAATTTGCCTATATATTATGAGCAGAACTTTTGCGAGATTTCAAAGCATACTTATAGATATTATAGAGCCATTTCTCATGGTTATGAGCTTACAAGTATTTATATCAAACGGGCTGCGGCTTCATTTTGCACAAAAATATTGTTTTATCGATAAAATGAAGCACTAATTTCACATATCTTGTCTTTTAATAATTCAAGCACTTTCCATAAATATGGCTTTCAGGGTTTTCCAGGACTTACATTTCAGAAATTAAATTCAATTACTTTAAGTACACTGTATGAACCCTGCCACAATGTTGGTTCATTTTAAATTTACAACGAAATATCAAATATACATCATAATTAATATTATGTAATACACTGAAAAAAGTTTGTTGGATTTACATGATTTAATCATACATCGATTTGATACGAATCAATTAAAATAATTTTTAGCACCTCTACATATTAATTTTTATTTTACGTCAGTACATTATGTAATGGTCAAAATAGTTAAGATACAAAGGTAACACACAGTGTAATTGAACAGTTCTATATCCAAACATAACTGAGCATTAAACACCATCAAATCTCCCCTTTTCTCATTTAGCTAAAAAATTCATAAAATAATACTTGATTATTCTCATGCAAGGCATGCTGGGAACTACAGTTTTAATCATGGCAATAGCTTAAATAATTTTTGAGCTCCAGCATCCCCACAATATTGTGCTACTCCCTTAAAAAGTAACTAATTGCATTACTTTTTAAGAAAAGTAATTTGTTCGATGTTTTTTGTGTTCGTTTTTAATCACCTGGGCTGGGCTTATTTTGTTTTTTTAAACAAAAAAAGTGCTATTTTTAGGCAAACGTAAAGAAACTTTCACACCAAAATTGAAATAATAATCCTCAGGCTGAAGGAAGTGTACAGTAGAGGGCGCCGCTCAAACTAAACTCTCAGGATTGCAGAAGAAAAAAGTTTAACACTTCACTAATAAAAACTAAAAAATAGACTAATTTTTATTTGAGGAGCAAGTACATTGCTCAATAAAGTGAGATTAAATGCATAAAAATATTTGTTTTATTTAACATATGTAATTATTGGAGGTTTGGATAGTCTGATTTTGCATATAACTGATTATATTCATTTTGAGTTTGAGTTAGTGCACGTGAGATGAGTTAGTGCACGTGAGATGAGTTAGTGCACGTGAGATGAGTTAGTGCACGTGAGATGAGTTAGTGCACGTGAGATGAGTTAGTGCACGTGAGATGAGATGAGTTAGTGCACGTGAGATGAGATGAGTTAGTGCACGTGAGATGAGATGAGTTAGTGCACGTGAGATGAGATGAGTTAGTGCACGTGAGATGAGATGAGTTAGTGCACGTGAGATGAGATGAGTTAGTGCACGTGAGATGAGATGAGTTAGTGCACGTGAGATGAGATGAGTTAGTGCACGTGAGATGAGATGAGTTAGTGCACGTGCACGTGAGATGAGATGAGTTAGTGCACGTGAGATGAGTTAATGCACGTGAGATGAGTTAATGCACGTGAGTGCACGTGAGATGAGTTAGTGCACGTGAGATGAGATGAGTTAGTGCACGTGAGATGAGATGAGTTAGTGCACGTGAGATGAGATGAGTTAGTGCACGTGAGATGAGATGAGTTAGTGCACGTGAGATGAGATGAGTTAATGCACGTGAGATGAGATGAGTTAATGCACGTGAGATGAGATAGTGCACGTGAGATGAGATGAGTTAGTGCACGTGAGATGAGATGAGTTAGTGCACGTGAGATGAGATGAGTTAGTGCACGTGAGATGAGATGAGTTAGTGCACGTGAGATGAGATGAGTTAGTGCACGTGAGATGAGATGAGTTAGTGCACGTGAGATGAGATGAGTTAGTGCACGTGAGATGAGATGAGTTAGTGCACGTGAGATGAGATGAGTTAGTGCACGTGAGATGAGATGAGTTAGTGCACGTGAGATGAGATGAGTTAGTGCACGTGAGATGAGATGAGTTAGTGCACGTGAGATGAGATGAGTTAATGCACGTGAGATGAGATGAGTTAGTGCACGTGCACGTGAGATGAGATGAGTTAGTGCACGTGAGATGAGTTAATGCACGTGAGATGAGTTAGTGCACGTGAGTGCACGTGAGATGAGTTAGTGCACGTGAGATGAGATGAGTTAGTGCACGTGAGATGAGATGAGTTAGTGCACGTGAGATGAGATGAGTTAGTGCACGTGAGATGAGATGAGTTAGTGCACGTGAGATGAGATGAGTTAGTGCACGTGAGATGAGATGAGTTAGTGCACGTGAGATGAGATGAGTTAGTGCACGTGCACGTGAGATGAGATGAGTTAGTGCACGTGAGATGAGATGAGTTAATGCACGTGAGATGAGATGAGTTAATGCACGTGAGATGAGATGAGTTAGTGCACGTGAGATGAGATGAGTTAGTGCACGTGAGATGAGATGAGTTAGTGCACGTGAGATGAGTTAGTGCACGTGAGTGCACGTGAGATGAGATGAGTTAGTGCACGTGAGATGAGATGAGTTAGTGCACGTGAGATGAGTTAATGCACGTGAGTGCACGTGAGATGAGTTAGTGCACGTGAGATGAGATGAGTTAGTGCACGTGAGATGAGATGAGTTAGTGCACGTGAGATGAGATGAGTTAGTGCACGTGAGATGAGATGAGTTAGTGCACGTGAGATGAGATGAGTTAATGCACGTGAGATGAGATGAGTTAATGCACGTGAGATGAGATAGTGCACGTGAGATGAGATGAGTTAGTGCACGTGAGATGAGATGAGTTAGTGCACGTGAGATGAGATGAGTTAGTGCACGTGAGATGAGATGAGTTAGTGCACGTGAGATGAGATGAGTTAGTGCACGTGAGATGAGATGAGTTAGTGCACGTGAGATGAGATGAGTTAGTGCACGTGAGATGAGATGAGTTAGTGCACGTGAGATGAGATGAGTTAGTGCACGTGAGATGAGATGAGTTAGTGCACGTGAGATGAGATGAGTTAGTGCACGTGAGATGAGATGAGTTAATGCACGTGAGATGAGATGAGTTAGTGCACGTGCACGTGAGATGAGATGAGTTAGTGCACGTGAGATGAGTTAATGCACGTGAGATGAGTTAGTGCACGTGAGTGCACGTGAGATGAGTTAGTGCACGTGAGATGAGATGAGTTAGTGCACGTGAGATGAGATGAGTTAGTGCACGTGAGATGAGATGAGTTAGTGCACGTGAGATGAGATGAGTTAGTGCACGTGAGATGAGATGAGTTAGTGCACGTGAGATGAGATGAGTTAGTGCACGTGAGATGAGATGAGTTAGTGCACGTGCACGTGAGATGAGATGAGTTAGTGCACGTGAGATGAGATGAGTTAATGCACGTGAGATGAGATGAGTTAATGCACGTGAGATGAGATGAGTTAGTGCACGTGAGATGAGATGAGTTAGTGCACGTGAGATGAGTTAGTGCACGTGAGTGCACGTGAGATGAGATGAGTTAGTGCACGTGAGATGAGATGAGTTAGTGCACGTGAGATGAGATGAGTTAGTGCACGTGAGATGAGATGAGTTAGTGCACGTGAGATGAGATGAGTTAGTGCACGTGAGATGAGATGAGTTAGTGCACGTGAGATGAGATGAGTTAGTGCACGTGAGATGAGATGAGTTAATGCACGTGAGATGAGATGAGTTAATGCACGTGAGATGAGATGAGTTAGTGCACGTGAGATGAGATGAGTTAGTGCACGTGAGATGAGATGAGTTAGTGCACGTGAGATGAGATGAGTTAATGCACGTGAGATGAGATGAGTTAGTGCACGTGAGATGAGATGAGTTAGTGCACGTGAGATGAGTTAATGCACGTGAGATGAGTTAGTGCACGTGAGTGCACGTGAGATGAGTTAGTGCACGTGAGATGAGATGAGTTAGTGCACGTGAGATGAGTTAGTGCACGTGAGATGAGATGAGTTAATGCACGTGAGATGAGATGAGTTAGTGCACGTGAGATGAGATGAGTTAATGCACGTGAGATGAGATGAGTTAATGCACGTGAGATGAGATGAGTTAGTGCACGTGAGATGAGATGAGTTAGTGCACGTGAGATGAGATGAGTTAATGCACGTGAGATGAGATGAGTTAGTGCACGTGAGATGAGATGAGTTAGTGCACGTGAGATGAGATGAGTTAGTGCACGTGAGATGAGTTAATGCACGTGAGATGAGTTAGTGCACGTGAGTGCACGTGAGATGAGTTAGTGCACGTGAGATGAGATGAGTTAGTGCACGTGAGATGAGATGAGTTAATGCACGTGAGATGAGTTAATGCACGTGAGATGAGATGAGTTAATGCACGTGAGATGAGTTAGTGCACGTGAGATGAGTTAGTGCACGTGAGATGAGTTCGTGAGATGAGTTAGTGCACGTGAGATGAGTTAGTGCACGTGAGATGAGTTAGTGCACGTGAGATGAGTTAGTGCACGTGAGATGAGTTAGTGCACGTGAGATGAGTTAGTGCACGTGAGATGAGTTAGTGCACGTGAGATGAGTTAGTGCACGTGAGATGAGTTAGTGCACGTGAGATGAGTTAGTGCATGAGTTAGTGCACGTGAGATGAGTTAGTGCACGTGAGATGAGATAGTGCACGTGAGATGAGATAGTGCACGTGAGATGAGTTAATGCACGTGAGATGAGTTAGTGCACGTGAGATGAGTTAGTGCACGTG